ATTAAAAGAAAAGTTATAGTATTTGTTAACGGTGTTTGATGTACATCTTATTTTTCAACTAATTAATGAGGATATATGATTGCCAAGTAACTTAGTGCACCTCAAGGAAGAGTTTAAGGACCAATGTTGGCCTTAACATAGAACATATACTATAATAAGTTAGAAAGAATTGCATGTCCTTAAAAAATAGCCGCACAATTGTTGAAGGAAAAAGGAACCATGTATGCCTAACCCCGTCTGCAGCGGGCGCTCCTCGTTACAAACCATAGTGGAAGAAAATCATAGTGGTGGAAACTCATTAGTAAGAGAAAGAATAATTGAAGGTGCGCCTAATGTTTTGTAGCTAAATTCGATGGTGCACCATATGCGGAGTTTATTTGAGAAAATTTGTATTTTCGCCTTGAAAATTATAACCCAATTCTAACTACAACCCCATTCTATCTCCAAAGTTTAAATATTCACTTGGTTTTAATAACTTTTTATGAGACTGGAGAGCTGATACTAAGTAATTTAAAAATGGGATGCAAAGTATATTAAGAAAGTTATAAAAATTAAAGATATTTAGTTTGGTAAAGTCCTGATACTACATATATTGAAAAATTCCTTAGACATCAGTTAGGCTGCTAGTAAACCATATTGCCACTATTTCTATGCTCACGGTTTTTTATAAGTACTCCCCCTCTCCCTTCCCACCCCTAATGTTCTGCCATGGCATGGAAAGAGTGAAATACACTTATCCTTATTTGGCAGCATTTGAATAGATAAGGGATTTTCAAAAGCCACAAATACTTGGCAATTGATGTAATGTATTTGCCCAACAATTGAACATCCAATACTTCTATATTCAGAAAGAAAAAGAATTATTTGATTTAAGTGGATTGCTCACCTGCCGTTCTAAAACTTGGTAACTAATTGTGGCATATCTAATACTCCGTATAGTCAAATACTATATGATTTGGGGACATCATTATCGATCGATTAAAGAGAAAGTCGCACGTTCGAGTCTCATGGATCGATTTGAGGTTGGGGTCTTCGACTTCGGGGCAACTATTTGTGGTTGGGAGGCTTCGCAGGCGGGCTACTAGTTGAGGTTGGGAGACTTCGAAGATGACAAGTGATTTCATATTGAGAGGATTCTTCATTTCTTCACATATAAGCAGCTATGTGTGGATAAGAATGTGGGTAAGAATGAGTCTCTTGAAGGAAGAAATAATTGTGAAGAGGGGTGAAATTGTAAATTTAAACATTCACTGACGGGAAAAACCGTCGGTAAACCGTAGGAGATTCAGCGACGAAAATAACCATCGGTAATATGGTTGCATTTGCATGCCAAAAATGAAAAAATTCCCGACAACTTTCCGACGGTTTTTTGACGGTTCCATTGATATACCGTCGGTAATTCCGTCGCTAATGACCCACTGATTTATCTGTTGCTAAATTTATGTTGCTATATCAATGTTCTTTTGTAGTGAGACCTCTAAAACCATGAATATAACTTGTAATTCAAAAGGCATAACTTTTAAACTAAGAAGGATATATAGCTTTTCTGTAAAATGCTAAAACAGCTAAAACTTTAGATCTTATATGCACTTTTCTTTATAAAAATGTAAATTAAGAATTACTATAACTTCTAAATCAAGAAAAAGAACTTTTAAATCAAAACGAACAACTTTTACAGGTTTTGATAGTGACTTTGTGATGGGTGGAGTTTGTGCCGACTTATTGAGTAGAGTAGGAGACTTACTCTTGATTCTGATTTAGTATATATTATCATTGAATCGCGTTATTATGGTAGCGAGAGAGACCGTCACCGAATCGCCTTAATTTCGTAGCGCGAGAGAGAATTTCCAGAAACAATACGGATAATAAGAAATCGACTTTGAGCGAGAGAGAGAGTAGAAGCAACGAAGCTCTCTTGTTAATAAACTAGTGCATCTGATTTTTAAACTAGCGAAGATCGGTGGCTCCAGATGTGTAAAGATCGGACGTCCGAAATTGCTTCTCACTTTTCAGTGATAATAGACTTCTCACCTGACCTATTCCCTATATATATATAACCAAGCATTCCAGCCCAGTTTGTTGTGAGGTTACCATGCCTAGTGGGAGGTCTCGTGTTCGAATCTCACTAGGCACACAAGGGTTGGAAACTCAATGGAGTGAGTTTCAGCCCTGATTATTCCAGACTCCGGCCCCCCAGCCCCCTTCCCCCAGACTCACCATGGAGTAAGAAAAATGGAGTAAATATATATAAGACATCTTTCGAGTGCAAAACATATTAGATTAAAAAATATTAGACCAACAAATTTCAGTCCAAGTAAAAATATCCTAAATCTAAGCAGATCAGATTAAGCAAGAGAATTTTAGTACAATAAAGTAGGAATGACACATCCTGATAAATATGGAATGACTAAATTTTAGAAATTACTCCAAATAGGAATAAAACTATATGGGAAAAAATAAAAAATAGAACTTCTTATGCTTTTATTCTAAAATAAAACCATATTACTCCTATTTGAAAACATACATATTTTTTCATTCCATTCTTACTCCATTAAATAATAGTAAAGGGAAGTTAGAAGTTATAATTAAATGTTTCAATTCATAACAAATTCAAATTTTTTTTTAAAAACCTTACAAAAATAATAAAAAGTTAATAAAAATTTATAAAATAAAAACTTATTACTACTAATTTTTTTAAATTAATAAAAAAAGTAAAAATCCATAAAAATAGAAACAATGGATGCCTTTCCCACCGCCTGTAATGCCTCCTGCACCACCACCTTCGATCGGTGTAAAAAAGTGCAATGTTTCCTTAAAAAATGAAATTCTTTTTTAAAATGTCAAAAAAATAGCATACTGCTCTTTGAGAATTCCAAAATTTTCATGGAATCTACCATAAATCCTAATGCATGTAGCATTTTTTTCCCCGGTGACAGGACGCGGCGGCATTTTTTTTTAAAAAAGAAAAATTAAAAAATGTTATTTTTAAAATATTTTAATTAATTTTTAAGTGTTTTTTAAGTATTTTTATAATTTTATTATGAGTTACGTATTTTATTATTTCAGTAGCTAAAAGAGTATATTTGTGCAAGACACACATAATTAGTCCTATGAAACATAATTTATGTTTTGGCCATCTTTGTGCAAATTGACCGACTTTTAGTCTTATATACATAATTAACTCTAAATTTCAAAGTGATTGTTCGATGGACACATTATACCACGATAAATTAAATTCCATTTTTATTTAATCAATAACATACTAGATAGAATTCCCTAGATCGAAATTATACGATATATAGTATTAATTAATTGATTGATACGAACTACTGTAATACGTAAATATAGGCAGAAATTTGACAGAATGAAACCAATAAATTAAATGAATTTGCCAGAAACAACAAAATGACCCTAAATGAAACCAATAAATCTATTCAAATTCATCTAAAATTTAAATGATGAATAATGTATAATCGCAGATCAAAGATTAAATCTTGACTTCAATTTCACAACCCTACACTTCCGCGGTGCTTCTAACATCGTCCCAATGCGGTCAGCGCCTTCCGTTGACCCAAACCCGACCCTTACGTCGTCGCACGTGGCCTTTATGTAAAAGGCTTTCTCGTCGTTCGCTCCAGGATTCTCCCTAACCCTACTTTTCACGTTAACGGTGAACGTGTAAACCACCGCCGTTGATTGCAAATCCGCCGGGACGGAAAAATCATTCATAGTCACCGCCAACGGCTTTTGCTCGGCATTACCCTGCCAGAAAGTTTCCGCGTGGGCCCGCGCTAACGTCTCGTTACGGCCGCCTACGGCGATCGACAACTCGACCTCATCGTACTGAAAAACCTTGTAGTAAAATTCTCCGTCCGCATTGTTGTTGTCGAAGGCCAAAACGACGGTGCAGTTGGCGGCGAGCGGCGGGGATGCCGCGGTGCTGCTGCGGTTGCCGGTGGGATTGGGTGAAAGCGTGAAATCATAGATGAGAACGTCTGGAATCGGCTGACAGATATCATCAATAATATATGCAATACCAAAAATGACCAATGGAGAAAGTATCATCAAGAATACCACCCACTCCCACCTAATACTGCAATCATCTGTTGTCGTTGAAGGCGGCATGCTTACTTGGTCAGAAATTGTGATGAATTACGAGGCTTGTAATTCTTTTGTTATCTCTCCTTTAAAATAAAAAGCAGCTTTTAAAGAGCTAGTTAGTGCGTTAGTTTTTGATTGCATCTTTTAGAGTTCATGTTGTAATAGGAGACGGTAATTAATTAATGTTTTTTATTCCATCTTTTAGAGTTCATGTTGTAATAGGAGACGGTAATTAATTAATGTGTTTGGTTCCATCTTTAAGAGTTCATGTTGTAATAAGAGACGGCAATTAATTAGGATGTTTTCTTTTGAACTATTTTCAGTCACAGAGCAGATCAGACCAGATCAGGTTAGACCAAACCAGACCAAACTTCCGTAGTTATAAAATACACAGAGACCAAACGTTTACCAGAGCAGACCAAACCAACAAATTTTAGTCCAAAAGAAAATAGGGAAAGTTCCCGAAATAAGACTAAAACAGTTTGAAAATTCCAAAATAGGACCGTCATGTTTTTTATTCCCAAAATAGGAGTAATTACTGTCAAGTTTAGAAAATACTGACATGTTTGAAGTCTGGTACTGCCAAAACATGACAGTAATTGGTCCTATTTTGAGAATAAAAACATGACAGTCCTATTTTGGAATTTTCAAACTTTTTTTGTCCTATTTCGGGTAATATCTCAAGAAAATATCATTAATATGCTTGGAATTAATTAGTTGTCTTTATTTAAAAGTAAAATTCGAAGAGAATTAGAATTTGGTAGTGTTGAATAAACGGGACTCTATCACTATATAACTAATAACTACATACCGTGTACATACATAGTTTAATTACACCGCATGTAGAGAAAAAAAAATCAAATACGTACATATATAACTAATAACTACATACCGTGTACATACATAGTTTAATTACACCGCATGTAGAGAAAAAAAAATCAAATACGTACATACGATCGAGTTAATAGTTATTACTCAGACCAAACATGCCGCCTTCAACGAAGGAACCATGGTATAGTTGGAGTTCTCCGATTGGTGTTCCAATTTTTGTAGGAGGGTTTCTTTTGTTTGTTTTCGCTGGTATAGTTGCCATAGGTATTTATACAAGTAGTGAAAGATTCGTCTCGCCGACCCCAAAAGTACGCATTTACGGCTTTACACTCTCACCCAAACTCGCTCCGGCGGACAACAATAGCACTGCCACCGAATCCCCGCCGCTCACCGCAACCTGCACCGTCGCTTTCTCGATCGACAACAACAATGATGAAGGAGTATATGAGTACAACGAGATCGAGGTATTGGTTGTCTGGGAAGGCCGGAACGAGACGTTCATGCGAGCCAACCCCAAAACCTTCACTCAAGGAAGCCTTGAACGAAAGCCCGTGTTGCTGGCCGCGACTGATTTGCCCGTGCCGCGGGATCTGCAATCGACGGTGGATTATACGTTCACGATCAATATGAAAAGTAGGGTTAGGCAAGATCCTGGGACAGGAGGGGAGCGTGCGTTTTACATCAAGGCAACTTGTGAGGAAGTAAAGGTTGGTTTTAGGAAAACACAAAGCGTTGATAGAGTTGCCACCATGTTGGATGGACCACATATGTGCGGGGTTGTGAAATTAAAGTCTAGCTTTAATCTTTGATTGTTAGCGCTGTTCTGTTCGTTTAATTTAATTAGTAGGGTGGATTCGTCAAATTAAATTTTGGATTAATTTGAATAGATTTAATTTACGGTTTCTATGTTATTATGTCAATTTTGGCAAAGTAAACAGTTGTATTTGTTCATTCATTAGTTCAATTTTTAAGATAATAAAGTCAACCGCGTTGGTTTTAATTATTGAACCCATATACTCCCTATGATTGATTGCTTATTTGATTACATAGGGTTCATTGATTGAATTGGAATTTTGAGATGCAAACTTAAGAAATACTACGTACTACGTACATTAAAAAGTTATCTATTTAGCTTGGTAAAGTCATGAAATCATATTGTCGCCTTGTACATCAAGTCCAAGTAACAATTTATTTATGGTATATTTATGCTACGTAGCATAAATACGTCTCAATGGTGTTTGGCAATTCAATTAGCATATCATTTAATTAGCTGTTAGCTTACAACCAAATCTATCAGTGCATTGATATATAGATCATATTAGTTTTTTTTATCAGTGAGTATCAATCGCATATCATTTAATTAGCTGTTAGCTTATTCGCATTGTTATCAATTTAATTGATTGTTTGGAATTACATAAAAATTGCTTAAACAAACTACATGTAAGTGACTACGATGTAAACTTTAAACACAATTATAGTCACTAATAAATACTACGGGGTAAATCATATTTTTATCCATGATCTTTTTATTTAAAGAAAAACATTTTTTTATTTGGTACAAAGTACTTCCTCCGTTCTTTTTTAATTGCAACAGTCAACATTTCACGTTAGGCAACGAACAAGTTTGACCATAAATATCTTTCATTCCTTATTAGTAAAAAATTTAAAAAATTTATATTTTGAAAATTTAGAATGAGAACAATTTAACTATATTTTTTAACATTTTCATTTATAATCCGTAATACATTAATAAATAAAATATAATCAAAGTAGAATATGTGAATAATGCAAAAACTCTAATGTTGCAATTAAAAGAGGAGCGAGGCAGTATAATTTTAAAAAGAGCCCGTCACTTACCCCTTAAAATGCACGCTACCCCTTAAAAGAGTTTAACCGGCTACGTGTCCAACATATCCCTCTTTGCAAAAGCATTCTTAACATTTCTGATTTCTCCACATTTCTTCTCTATCTGCTAGAATATATTCTCCGGCCAACTTGACGGAGACAGGGAAGAGGAATTTCACGCCGCCGTACGCGTGGAAGCGGGATAGAGAAGCCGCCGACTAGGCTTGAGATCGGGATGAGGTAGATGCCTCCCTGCTGATGACGGATGGAATCGGAGTTTCCTCGGCTATCCACCGATATATAGGCTACAGTTATCCTATAACTTCCTTGCTTGGTGGAGAAGAAGTGAATAAAGATACTCACTAGCCGTCTGGTTCTCTGTAGCGAATTGGGATGGCTATCCAACTAGGTCATTTTGGAGCCATATCTTTTAAGAACAAATTCCCCTTAGGCGCAATCTTTCAGAGGAGAATCGAAGATTGAGTGCTTTTGTAACTGTAGTTTTTTTAAATGATATATGATCTGCATCTGATAATTTACTTTTCTGTTACCTAAATGTTTCTTAAGTTGTACTTCATTCATGAGAAAATATGTTTAATCTCCCCCTCAGAGGCTCTAGTTCAATGATTTTTGTCCTTTGATTTATCAATCGGAGTTAGATTAGGAAAATCTGGAAATTGTAGCTTATATTTTCTCTTTTTTAATAATTAACTTAATCATAAAGGAAAGATTTGCTTGAGTAATTAATTAGGTTTAATTTTTAATGATTTATCAAAACATATATAATTCAGTCTCAAAAAAAAAATCAGTCACAATTAATATTGACATTTTATAACGTTTTAATTGATGTTTAGTCTTCAAATTTAGTTCTAGTGATTCAGAGCTATTATCTTTGCAGCAATGGAGAATGATTACTTGCAGAGTTGCAGATATGTACTTAAAGGAAACGAGGAAGAGCTGATCAGCAGATTGCTCGATTAGCTGAGGATGGTGATATCTATAATATGCTCTCCAGAGTCCAGATCATTGGCTCCAGAGAGAAAAGGAGGCCCCAGAGAGCTTTGACACAGATGAACGAAAAAAGAGAGGCCCCAAGGACTATGCAGATGTTTGTTAACCAAGCGCATAGGAGGAACTAAACTAGCATCATCAAGTCAATGATGTGTTTTGAAACCAGCAACTTCTGGAAATAGGCAAATAGCCAAGGCACTTCACTGTTATATGAATTGGTTTCTAGTGTAGACCTGAATACTTTTTTTATTAGGGATATAAGTTGAATCTCAAAATTACATATTCTATTGGTGCCAAATTATTCAAGTATGACAGCAAAATATGCATAAGATGACAATAACTCAGAAAAAACCGAATCATGAAATAACTGATAATAACCCAGAAACAGTAACATAAAGTAATGAATCAATAGTCACAACACAAGAGTAAACTAATTAATAACAGCAACTCATAATAACCTAGAAACAGTAACATAAATTAATGAATGAATAGTCACAACACAAAAGTAAACTAATAACAGCAACGCAGTATCATGATACAAAAATTGAGTTTCAGCCTCTGCTCTAATAGAAATGCTTTTTATCATGCTTCAACATTCTAAATCTGGCAGATTGAGATCAAATTGTTGATTGCAATTTTGAGACCTGCAATAACGGCACATATTACGATATTAAATATTTTAAACTATATACTACCTCCGTTCTCTTTTAGTTGCAACGTTGGACTTTTTACACTATTCACATATTCTACTTTGACTACATTTTATTAATTGATGTATTATAAATTAAATTTTTAAAAAATATTGTTAAATTCTTCTCATTCTAAAATTTCAAAATAAGAATTTTTTAAATTTTTTACTAATACGGAATGAAGGATATTAATGGTCAAACTTGTGCGTTGGCAAACGTGAAATGTTGACTGTTGCAATTAAAAAGGAACGGAGGAAGTATATGCTGGAATATAAATGAATAAAACGATTGCTTAATAAAATGTAAAATATTCAATAACAAAGTCAGATTTTTACCTCTCTGGCTGTGAAACGTGACATGATCTAGCATTATGGCCACTCTTCTTACATTTTCCACAACATCTAGCCTTTTCAGATGGGTGTTTAAGGCGTGAACCTGAACCTCTAATCTTTTTAATTTTCGGATCTTTCACAAAAAGTTTTGGTGAGTGAGAAGACAATGTTGATGGATGACTTGTATTCATCCTCCCATCGTCCATATGTGCAAGGTGATCCATAACACCCTTTAAGACCCCTGCGAAGTAGTTGCTTCGTTCTTCAGTTAAGGATGCCATGTCAACAACTTCGAATGCAGACGACCTTAGCTTAACCCGCCTTGTCCACAATTTCTTACTAACAAAAGAATCAGTTGCAGGCTGATAAATAGGGTTTACCTTTGCTTTCTTTTTCCAGCGATGAAGAATATATTTCTCTGACAATAACAACACCTGCTCGAGCCTCATCCATGTGAGAATATGGTGGCAAGTAATCCCCACAAATTCAATTTTTTTACCGCTACACGAAACAAAATCTAAGGATATGTCGTATGTAAGCTTGTGTGTCGTAGAGCTATAAGTCAAATCCATATCACATCTCTTAACATCATAAATCTTAGTTTCAACAGAGCTAGAAACCAGGTGACAAGTGTAAAGAGCACACTCGTCATATTGTTTCTGGAACTTACGAAAAATTGCTTTTGAGTATATTCCAGCCATTTGTCCTTCCATTAAATAACTTGATTTCACCTGTGGAACTTTATTTCGATCGCGGTGATCAGCAACAAGCTCTCTGTGCCTCTGTCTCACAATAGCCCGAGTAATACGTGTCACACACTGGCTCACGGTGCACTTCTTGTTAGCATACTTTTAAAAAAAAAGCATGTGTGCTTTCGACATGTTGACTACTTAACATTCCAGCACAAAAAACATGTTTCACAAAACAGGGAACCCATTTCGTACGAATTTCATATATATCAGCAAGCCAACTATTTTCATTCAACTCTGGCAACAAAAGTTTCTCAGTCCATTGTTGCTCAAAATCACTTGTGCTCTTTGAACTCATAATAATATCAACTAATTCTTTATGGAGTTCAGTATACGCTGAGCTAGAGACATTCATCTTTTCAGGGAATTTTTTAAGTATATGCCAAAAACAATGATGATGTGATGCATTTGGTAATACATCAGCCACTGCTCGAGCTATAGCTGCATCCTGGTCAGTTATTATTACTTTTGGATGAGGTCCAAGATTCATAGCTTCTAAAAACTCTGATAGTAGCCAAGAAAATGACTCAACCGATTGATCACTTAGCAAACCGCAACCGAAAACAGTAGTTTGATGATGATGATTAACACCAACGATCGGAGCAAGATACAATCCATACATGTTCGTATTGAATGTTGTATCAAATACAACCACTTTGTTGAAAAATGAGTATGCATTCCTACTGTCACTATCGGCCCAGAAGCATCTAGTAAGAACCTTTTCACTGTCAATCTCATACTTGTAGAAGAAGTCACAATTCCTATGTTTTTCCATTTGAAATCCATGAATCATTGTTTTCACATTGATCCCATTAAATTTGGATTTCAATGAGGCGTTGTAATTATATATATATCAGTCTCTGTGCACCCCATCATAGCTAGACCTCCAACTTCATTCTCCAACAACCGAATTTGGGTATGTGTCTCAATATTTGCTTCTCCCCACTCATTCATCAATACTCTCTTAGAAGATGACACCTCTCGATGAGAACGAAGCAAATGTGTCTTACTAGGACTAACAAGGTCATGATTATGTATCTTTTCGAATTGTGACACAATCCACAAACCGCTTTGTCGGTCTCTTGAAACATGCATTTTAGCAAGACACCCACACCTAGTTTGGCCCCTATCTGATTTTTCTTCCGCGATGACACATTTGTCTGGCTTTCTTTAGAGCATGCAAATGTTCTCCATGTTATAACTCCAACTTTATTAACAGTTGAGTT